AGTGACCCACATATGCTCTTTAAGAAAAATCTATTGGAGTTCCTAGCTTTTTCTTTTGAACTGATTTTATATGGGTTTTTTTTTTCTTTTTAATTGATGACGGGGGTTCGAAATTTGGTCTCTTTTTATGATTATATGAATTTCGAGGCTTATGGACTGGAACAGTAAATCAATTGAGGGAAACTAGAGCTAAAATTGAACACAGCTGAGCTAGATTAATAACTAATCAATAAATAAATAAATAAATAACCAAACAGTGCCTGAAAATGGAGCTGGTGATTTAAGGTTCATGCGCCGATCTGAGCTATAAATGAGATTAAAAACCTAATTGAAAGAAAAAATTGACCTCTTTGGAGTGGTGAAGACACTCGAGGTAGTCTTCGCGAAGAAGAACACAGTCCTTTGGCTGACGGCAGCGAGACATGCACTCGCTGAAGTCGACCCAGAAGTCGTAGCAGCGCCCTTTGTTCCCTGTGATTCCCCAACCCGATGCCATTTTCGTCTCTCACTGAGCGTCGAATCAAATCAATTTGCCGGTGGTGTTGTCGACGATGGTTAATGGGTTCAAAAGTAATCGGGATTGAATGGTTGCTTCGCTCTAGCTGCCGCTGACTGTTGGCGGTACGAATGTAAACCGATGGAAATTTTCGCCTGTAAAGACGTCCCCAAAAAATATAAAAAATAGATAAATGAACAAACTAATCAGTTAATCGTGACCGTCGAATGCGTATTCTTCTTGTAAATGGAAGGTGGATTATGAACTATGTTTTGTAAATGGATTTGAGGGTGTATTTTCTGTAGTTTGTATCTTTAAAAAACAATAGTTTTTGAACACAAATGATGATCTTAGTTATTGAAATTAATCTTAATATATGTTAGGGGAATTTGAAATTGGATGTTACGGGGCGAGCTAAGTGACCCACATATGCTCTTTAAGAAAAATCTATTGGAGTTCCTAGCTTTTTCTTTTGAACTGATTTTATATGGGTTTTTTTTTTCTTTTTAATTGATGACGGGGGTTCGAAATTTGGTCTCTTTTTATGATTATATGAATTTCGAGGCTTATGGACCAAAATGCCACAAGTCTCAAAGTTTAGTTTACAAAATCAAAATTTACTTATCATTTGTTTATATAACTTTGGCTTCTCCTTTTAATTTTATAAGATAAACATTGAGTGACTTGTGACACAATTTCATATGCATTAATGAGTATAAGTCAAATAAAATAAGGCAAATTTTCAATTATGCTCGGATATGTATTATTCTTCAATATAGAGATATTTATAAGGAAATACAAAGATGTATTAACCCTAAATACAGTAAGAAATAAATATAAAATAAATCTCAATTATAATACGACTAGACAAATGGGTAAGTAACCAAAATCCGAACATAGTAAGTAACTAAAATCTTAACTAAGTAAGGACTCGCCAACACTTCCTCCCCCCCCCTCCCCCCAACATTTTCTAAAGTTGGCGCAAAGATGTTTCGCATGACCAAATTGACAAGGGAGTCAAAGAACACCATATTCGACATTCAAAGAACTGTAGAGAAGGTTTTGTCATAAACCATGAGTGAAACAATTGACAAACCAAATCAAAGTTCGCAGTAGAAACACAAGAGCAAACGTTAACAAATATGTCACATAGCAAAACACATAAACCATGTGAGCACAACAGTAGGTAAGGTAGAACACAGAAACCCTACGATCACGGCAAAAGGGTCCATGTAATTTGCGTCTAAAGAGTAGGTTGGTGGATGATTGAGTATAAACCATCATAATAGATGTAGGAGAAGCAGTAGTTGAAGTAGAACAATAAGCATGTGAAGAAATAAATGCATCAACATTCAGCATAGTGATGAATGACGGCAATAGAAAGGTAGGCAGTGATGGTTGTAAGGTAGACGACGGCGTCGGGCTAGGTGTATAGTGCAACAGAAATAGGCAGTATTTAGGGTTAGGGTCAAGAGAACCTAGGTCGCAAGCACTGTGTATCTATCTCTCCTATCTCTCCCTTGAATCTTGAGGCTCGTAGAGGATTGGGATTTGGAAAAAGAGAAAAACAAAATTAAGGATGAAAGAGAGATTAAGAAAGGAGTCATAACATAAAGTGAAAAAAAAAAAAGAAAAAAAAAAAGCCATTTTGGCGTGAAGTGGATTTTTTTTTTTGGGGGGTAATAATTTTTTTAAAAGGTAAATGCAAAAAAACAAAATAAAGAAAGGATGTAAATTTGGAAAAAACAAGGACAAGAAGTGAGATGACAGACGAAGAAAATCATTTCTCACTTGGGATGGCCAAAAATTAAAATAAAGAATCAAAAGAATTGAATTTCTTTGCACACAAAGACAAAGAGTACACGTCGGTTAAGGGGAAAAAAAAGGAGGTAAAAATAGATGGATAGAAATGTAGCAGAATTTTTACCCAAAAAAAGAAGAAGAAATGTAGCAGAATTCCTCTACATTACAACATGCATCAATATGCGCCCGTTCCATTTCATCAGATCATAATCGGTCCCGGAGAAAAAGGACCCAAATCCATATACATGTACCGGGGGTCCCATCCCCTTCTCGCAACATAGATTCCTAATACCGGGACCCACACTCCACAATGAACGTGTCAAGGAAGTATTCGGGCCCCGCTCCTCGTAATTCGCGTACAGCGTACACCCCCCGAATGTAGCACGCGATTGGTCCAAATAAGAACCAAAGTCAACGCTAAATGAAAAAACCAATTGACTCGTTTGTTTTTATTAAGACCACAGTCGTCACGAGGCTCATGACTATCAAGCGCACGTAGAGCTTACTGCGTCCGAACATCGCTTTCCTGAGAAAAGGATCGAGGCGCGCGGGAGACTAATAAGCGACTTATTACTCGTCTCTGCTCCTCCGCTTTTGCAAAGAGCAAATAGAGACATTTCCAATCCCCTTCCCTTTATTTTCGTTAGGCAGAGAGAAGACAGATCACCGTCGTCCCCAACGTCGTCGTGTAGCTCCTCCTACTCCTCGTCGTTTTCGAACGCCAAATTCTCGTCTCTTCCAGTAATGGCGCTCCGCGAAAAAATCGTGGAGAAAATTCTCGATAATCGCGTCACTCTCATCGTCGGCGAGACTGGTTGTGGTACACTCCCTACTCTCTTACTCCGTACGGTTCTGCGGTTTTACTATCGCGAACTATTTCGTACTTCGTCATGTATTCTCTATTATGCAGGCCGTTTGGTTCCCGAGAAAACTGAGAACAAAAATAGTGCGGTGTTCACAAAACGCCGCATTTCTGATTTTTGTTTTCTAATTGTTATTCGTGTTGTTAATTTCTTTTGTTTGCTTCTGCTTTTGTTTGGTTTAATCAAAGGGAAAAGCTCGCAAGTTCCGCAGTTTCTTCTAGAGGCGAATTTGAAGCCCATTCTATGTACACAGCCTAGGAGATTCGCCGTAGTAGCTGTTGCTAAAATGGTGGCAAAAGCTCGAAATTGTGAAATTGGTGGAGAGGTTGGATATCACATAGGCCATTCAAAGCACTTATCACCAAGGTGTGTTAACTTATGTCCCATTTTCTAATAATCTTCCCTAATTTTCATTTGAGAGTGTGTGTTACGTTACGTTTGTGTTCATTTCTTTATTTGCTATGTTTTTGCAGGTCTTCGATTGTTTTTAAAACTGCTGGAGTTCTATTGGATGAAATGCGAGATAAGGGGATGCATGCGCTTGATTACAAGGTCATTGTTCTTGATGAAGTGCATGAAAGATCGGTGGAATCAGATCTTGTTCTTGTTTGTGTGAAGCAGTTTATGTTGAGGAATAACAACTTGAGGTCGACTTCTACCTGCCTTTTTCTTATATGGATGTTCGAACTTTTCCTACATTTAGGCTTATTTTATACTTGGCTGTTTCTGCTTACATTCTCTAGGAACAGCACAATTATGTATTCCATATGTAAATACAATTTCCTTGGGCATTCGTTACACGAGAATCTAATGGATTTATGAATTTTCAGGGTGGTTTTGATGTCTGCAACTGCTGATATTGCAAGATACAGGGATTACTTTAAGGATCTTGGCAGAGGTGAACGAGTGGAAGTGCTTGCAATCCCTACGTCCAATCAGAAAGCCATTTTTCAGCGAAGGGTTTCTTATCTTGAAGAGGCATTTACTTGTACTCTTTACTGGAAATATTATGTTTATTCTAGGGAACCTAACTCAATTAATGCTTCTTTTTGCCCGCCTTCATCATCTGAGGCACTCTTATTGGTGTTGAGCATGATGCTTTGCTCCCAAGATCTTGATAATACAATATAGGGTGTAACTTACGGATCTCTGTTTAGAAAAATAACAAATGATAGTAGCCTTTTGTTAGTGCATTGACGAGAGAATATTGTCTGTCAGATGTACAATTGGTATGTAAAGGTGTCGGGAACAAGAGTCTGTACAATTTGTTTTGAAGAGATTTAGTAGGTAAGTACTTAAGTTTTTTGAAAAGATTTAATAGGTAAGTATATAAGAGCTAATAAAACAAATGTAAAAGATGGAAGCTATAAATTTTATGGAGATGAGGCGACATTTCTCTACGACACTGTGTACTATCAATGAAAAATGCTTTAGAATAAAATAGTAAAGTTAATATTTAATTTATGTCAACTTCCAAAAACATCACCTTCAGTTTAAATCATGAAAAATGTGAACTAATTGAAAAACTAGGTCAGGGGGCCAGTTTTAGAGTTCACAATAGCACATGAATTCTATATGGAAACCCATTTCATTTATATAAGTGATGGTTCTGTGATTCTTTCCTGAACAGGTTGCTGGTCTTCTCAATATCGATTCAGAGTCGCTTTCTGATAGTTATTGTTCAGGTCCAAGTCCTTCTATGGCCAAAGCTGATATTAAGACTAAAGTGCACAAACTTATTCATGATTTGGTGTTGCATATTCATGAGCATGAACCAGACATTGAAAAGAGCATTTTGATTTTTCTTCCAACATACAATGCACTGGAGCAGCAATGGTTCCTTCTGAAGCCATTTAGTTCATCTTTTAAAGTTCACATTTTACATAGCAGCATTGACACTGAACAAGCTCTCATGACTATGAAGATTTGGAAATCCCATCGTAAAGTATGTTTGATATCCTAGCTGCGTTATTTAATTTTTTTGATGTGGTTGTTTTTGTACGTGTGCTGTTGGTTCTAACAAAATGTAAGGGTAGTTTAATCCCAATACTTTTCCTTTGCTAGACATGACTGTAACTATAGCTGCAAATAAAGTTAGTTTGAGATATTTAGGATGTAGATTAATGCCCCCTCCCCCCCAAAAAAAATCTGGTTGATTTTTTCCTCCATTATATCTTTATCTTCACACTTATGGTTGTTTCTGAAAACAATAATCTGCACAGGTGATACTGGCCACAAATATTGCAGAGTCGTCAGTAACAATACCCAAGGTGGCCTATGTTATTGATTCATGCCGATCTTTACAAGTTTTTTGGAACAGTTATCAGAAAAAGGAATCTGCAAAGCTTGTTTGGGTTTCTAAGTCTCAGGTATTGAAGGAATCTAACTGGATGATTAATTTTTGTGGTTTCTTGATTCCTTACTTTAGGTTTATGCTGCAGGCCGATCAGCGTAGAGGGAGAACTGGTCGAACTTGTGATGGCCAGATTTATCGGTTGGTTACTAGACCATTTTTCATCCAGTTTGACGAATACGAGGGTCCCTCTGTACTGAGGTTATCATTGCGGCTGCAAGTGCTTCAGATCTGCTGTGCTGAATCTAAGGCCATTAATGATCCCAAAGGTATGCTGTTCTTTGTCATTGTTTTCATCCTTGCATTTAGG